ATCTGCATCTTGGTCTAATTAAAGGGCCTCAAAGCGAAACAAGCGTATGAATCTCTCTCCTCACTTATTGTGCATTGCTATTCATTGTGATGGATCCTCGATATATAAATATTAAATGAGCATAAGTAATTACATTTAAATTTGTTTGAAGGAAATAATTATTAAAAATGAAAAATAAAATTACTTTTTTAGATTTTGTTTCTTAGAAATAAAAGCATAAGACCTGATGATGAAGGTTGGAATAATACACATAACATCTTTGTTTAAATTTTAATATTGTCATTGTAATTTTGATAAATAAAAAATAATAAAAACATAAAAGTGTAAAACTAATAAAATGAATTAAATGATAAACGAGTTATATAAAACTATATTAATTTCATTCAATTTCCTTTAAAATTCCTAATATGAATATTAACTTATTGATTCAACTTGATTTATCTACCAAATTTGTCCAATTGATTTTTTTAATCCCATCACACATGTATTTTTACTTCATTGAGTCATAAGCTAATCTTACTCTTCATATTGTGGTTATCTTTGGTCTGGGGAGTTTTATCATGCATCGAAAAAAATAAAATACTTGATTTTTTCATTAGATAAATTGTCTCTGTGATCAGTTCAAACTCATCAAATTTATATAATTCATTTAATTCATAATTATCTTACCGAATAAAAAAATCATAATTATTTTAACTAAACTTTTAGTAATAATTGAAAACCTTAATTTAATTTAGGACCAATTAAAGATGAAAAATATTTAAATGTAGAATATTCTTAATAGAAGATATGATGGCATTTTCTTATATATATTCATATTTTTTTACTATGTTAAGAAAAAATATAGTGTATCCACTCACAATCTTTAAAAGAGAATAATTACTAATTTTAATGATAGATACTTTATATTAATATCATTGTTACTAAAAAAATTATTATTTTTTTTGTGGAATTTGAGTTAAAATTTAAAATAAATGATTTAAATTCTCTAAAAATAACATGAAAATATTAGAGAATTTAAAGAATTATCATATTGGAATAGATAAAATCACAAGCATAATTAGTGAACTGAAACAATTGTAATCATTTTTAGTGTGTCTGTGTGTTTTATATTTTTATTTCATTTATATCTAGGAAGCTAATATTGGTGCTTAAGATTTTGAAGTTTATCCCTTGTTATTTAAGATTAATTTTATAGTTTTATTTAATTTTAAAGAAATAATTTATTTAAATGATAAACCATTCTAAAATATAATCATTTATTTCTTAAAATAAGTTAATTCAAACTAACAAAAAAAATAAATGTTTATACTCTATTGAGAAAAGAGAGATATTAAAAGGAGGATGAATAATGTCAACAAAAGATTCACATTTTTCAAAAATAATGATAAAGTAAGTTTATGAAAAAGTGGAGACAAAAAGATAAGAAATTGAACAAAATATTTTTATATTGATTCGCTTCAACTACTTGGACTATGTCCAATTCTTTATCTAATTAGATCAAGTTTTATTATATTATGCAAAAATACAAATATTTTTTTACTAAGTTACTTTTGACTCAAACCTAAGTATTTTTTGACTTATTTTATTAAGTAACTACCAAAATGTTCTTTCAATACAAAGCATCTTCAAACTTTAACAATCAAGTATTTTTTTACAGTCAAGTCTTTTCAGGCCTTAACAACCAAGTATTTTTTTTACAATCAAGTTTATGGACTTTGACAACCAAATATTTTTTTTATAGTCAAATGTCTTAAAGCTCAAAGCAATAACATGAAGTTATAATTGGGATAAGCTAATTATGTTGTTTCATTTTACTATTAAGACGTGATACAATCAATTAAGTACAAAAACTTTTTACAGAAATTTTATCACTACTTTAACATTGTGGAAATTTATAAACAATTACAAGATATATGTAATTGTGACCTTGACATTGTGATTGCAATTACAATCACAATTACGGTTGTGATTGTCTTTTAAACCTCGATGCATGAAAGACAAAATGTATTTATTCTAAGTTTTCAACCATTAGTTAAATTTTAGTGATTCATCATAAGTAAAGTTTAACATTAGTAATCAGTCATAAAATGTATTTTAGTGATTCATCATAAGTAAAGTTTAACATTAGTAGTCAGTCATAAAATGTGAATTTTTAATTTAACTCAATTTTGTAAAATTTATTTTTTCAAAGTAAGAATTATTGTGCACTTAACTTACATATTTTTTTATTAATTTTATCTCACGTCTAATACTATTAAACTTGATACATAAATAAAATGATATAAGATATATATTCATATCTCTATTTTTTCTCACACTGAATACTATTGAGATGTGTTTGTATAAATGGTAAGAAACACATTTAAGGTTTTTCCAATAATTAAGTATAGAGAATACGTTTAGATGATAAGGTTAGCCATTATCCTTGGTTGTTTGAGCAGTTAGGGATAAGGTTGATTGATGAAGATAATCATGAAAAATAATATGCAGACCTGGATACCAACAAAGGATGGCCTACACATCACAAGATCGTGTTTAGCTGCGTATTTGTATAAAAATAAAATGGGATACTTGACATTTGCCATCATCTCTTCTTACAATTTAATTGGTAATTTAGTCAAGAAATTGTGCCTGTGAAAATGACATGAGATATGTAATTCAAATTGAAAGTTTAATTCCCATAGGGAAGAAAAACCTTAATGTTCATGATTTTGTTTGTCAGCTTCTAGTTCTAGCCTACCAAAACTGAAAGACCAGATTCCTTAGCTTACATGTTATTTTAATTTTGAGGATTTGACTAAATCAGAATGCAAAAGGAGATTATATATCAACTTAGAATTTGAATCTTAAGCTTAAGTATTTTTCATACAATATTTTTGAGAGAGGAATATTGATTTTATATGTAGTTGAGCATGTATGATGTTGTTAAAATTAATCTTTATTTTCGATAATAGAAAATTCGTATTGATATATAATTAAAATAATAATAATAATTTACAAACTTTGCTTAAAATGTCCAAGGTTTGGATTCTAAAATTTAAGCTTAAAAAAGATGACTTGTACGGAATTATTACATCCATTTTGGGATTAGTTTTTATATCTTATGACATGGCTGCAGGAATAAACCTTTTTTTTTTAAAAAAAAATATATCTGCAAATGAAATAAGAAATCCCCAAACTTAGGCTAAACGATAGCAAATTACGATATGGTACTTGACACTATTATAGGAGTTTTGATACCATTAGTTTTTGGATCAATATATATTTGATTTGAATTAAGTCATATTATTTGTTTGGGAAAAGTTATGCAACTATTAGCGCAAAAATTAACTGTGCCTAAATTTTTAGATATTATAGTAACTCTAAAAAATTACAGCATATTAATAAATATAAATATGTTTTATTACATCTTTGAAAAAATAAACAATTCTTTTTAGTCTTTATATTGTTTTTTTTTGTTTTTTTTTTATGGTTGTTGTTTACTAAAAACAAAAAGGTGGCACTATATTTTATACACTGATTTTTTTTTATTGTATTTGTTTGACTAGAAACAAAAACTAATATTAAAACATGTTACTAATGACAGGTTTGCAATATGAAGGTTAAAACACATGAGAATGAATACCGATAAAAAATAAAATTAAAATTACAAGGACCAAAAATAAATATTTTTATATTTAACCTGATCTTAAATATATTATTACTATTTTTAATAATAACAATAATAATAGAAAAATACTGATAAAACATTTTTTACAAATCTTTTCTGACCACTCTTCTGTTGATGACTAAGATTTATAATAAATCATAAAATTTAATGTGTGATCAGTCTCACTGTATATTAATATCACCCCTAATTTTGTAATTTTTAATAAATAATAAAAAATAAAAAAGAAATGTGCTCGAAAGAATTTATTGGCAGCTAGCATTCTTTGTGATCCTTTTTTTATTCTTTTTTCCTTTGGTTAGCAATGGTAAATGAGTATGGTCCATTCTCCACATCACTAACACCGGAACAGAAGTTTCCAATCTTTGCTGTTTCTTTTTTGAATGTCATCATTACACAATTCAGACCTAAGCTGACAACTAACAATACTTGGCAAAGTTATCTGCTTTTAAAATTTTTATTTTGTTATTAATAGATGATAGCTACCCATGAACACGTATGTCAATCTCTATGAAATTGTTTTAGTTTAGATAGATATTTGGATATAAATTAAAATCATTTTTAGAGTTTTTTTTATATTAAAAATAAGCAGTATTTTTTTAATAGAAATTCTCTAAAAAAAAACTCTTTTAAGTTTATATAACATACTCTAAATCAATAATTTCAAATTCTGAGTACCATATATGCAAATATGTTAAATATTAAAAAAGAGGAGGGTTAAATATGTTAAATATTAAAAAAGAGGAGGGTTATATTCACACCGATGTAACTTTTGCTAAGTATTATACTGTTCAATAACTTTATATTAAATGTGAATTTTGTAAATCTAACCGTTAGAATGATAGTTCTTTACTCTTAGATCATATATACAAAATTTTATATTAATCTAGGATGATTTGATACTTCATTTTTATAAAACAAAATTGGCGTAATATATTTATTTCAAAATATACTAAAATATGAACATTTTATTTATCTTTAAGTTGTTGTTCAATTTTAACAAAATTTGATATACTCATATAAAATGATATGAACTTTCAATCTAACGGTTGAATTTACAAAATTCACAATTAATATAAAGTTATTAAGCGGTGTAATACTTAGTAAAAGTTACACCGGTGTAATTATAAGCTCCTCTAAAAAAAATTATTTATAATAATCTTACCTAACACAAAAAAAAAAAGTTTAAATAGAAGATATTTTTGGAATAGAATCAATCAATAATTTCTTTAATAATTTTTAATAAAATTAGGGCTCTTATTTTATTTGCATTAAAAATTCACATGAATTGAAATTAAATATGAGAAAAATCATATTCGGATTCAATAAGTAGGAGTAAAAAACTCAACCAACTTTACCAGGAGAAAAATTGTAATAGAAGTGATAGCAAATGTTATTCAAGAGAAAAATCAGAATTTCTTCTACGGTACTGGTATTTCCTCCCAGAGTATTTTATGCATAAATCAACCTTTTGAAGAAGCTGCAGCAGCAGAAAGAAATGAAAAGCCAAAAACAGCTCAGAAAGTCCAAGGTTGTGAAAATTGACTCAAGAAAGTCATGGGAGCACCACATCATTGATGCTACCAATAAAGGCTACCCTGTGAGTCTCATTTGTTTTCTGGAGATTCATTTGGTTATACATCTGTTTTCATTTCTAATTATTACAATTGGTTGGTTAAGAATGAAGTGTTCATGTGAAGTACATAGGTTAATTTATTCATAGCTCTCTTCTATATTCTTCCTATAAATAATTTTCAGGTTATGGTTCATTTTTCTGCTTATTGGTGCGTCCCTTCTATAGCTATGAACCCTTTCTTTCAAGAACTGGCCTCCACCTATCAAAATGTTCTCTTTCTGAATGTGGATGTAGATGAGGTTAAGGTAATTATGAGTATAATATAACCTTTTTTGATTTGGTGTTTTTATAAAACTATTTAGCCCATATTCCACCACATATCTTTGAGATTTTCAATTCATCTATTTCTATGTGTGTGGCTCTAATTTGTAGAACATGCAATAATGTTCATATGATTCAAATAAAGGGTAGTCTAGAAAAATATTTCCTAATTCTTTACTTTGAGATTCCAAATCAAACTTTGAGGTCACGTGGGCTGTGTTTATATATATCAGCAAGCATAGTATCACTAGAGCTTGTTCCTAATCTATTCTCAAAAAAGAAAAAGAAAAAACTCCTAGGCTTCAAGCCTTTAACATATCATAAGGCATTAATTATTCATCAATGATCCTTATTCATTAATAAAGTGTGACTTTGCAGATGATATAAAAAAGAGACCTATAACAGATGTATCTTTTGTTATCCTTATTGGATGGTTTTCGAAAGGACAAATTCTATGCTTGATTGCTTAGTATCACTTGTACTCGTAATTTTCTTTACCACCTTTTATTCTACTGCTATGAGCACTTTTTGTTCTATATATCTAAGAAGTTGCCTCCAAGTTGGAAATCAAAGCCATGCCTGCTTTTGTTTTGATCAGTAGTGGAGGAGCTCAAGTGGATAAAACTGTTTACTTTTGGATTCCAAACCCAACTTTGAGGTCACGTGGGCTGTTTTTATGTCAGCAAACACAAAATATAAAAATTATTTAGTTTAAGTATTTTTTTTTAATCCTTTATATTTAGAATAAATATATTTTTATTCATCAAATTTAAAACGAACTTTTTAGTCCATATAATTTTTAAAAAATTTATTTTATTTTTTATGATCAAATTTTATTAATAAATTTATAAAATATTATCATATAAAATATACTTATTAATATCTTATTAATAATAATATTATATTAAATTTAGTTAATATTGTATAGTCTTTTCAATTTATTACTGTTAAATATATTACTTGTATCTCAAAGAATTAAAAGAATACTTTTTAAAAATTATGAAAATTATAAAAAATTAATTTTAAATTTAAAAATTAAAAATATATTTACCCTAAAGTGACTAGATTTAAAACATATTTAAGGTTATATTTTGTGTTTCAAGCATAGAAGCATCTTTTTTTGATAAAACCAATATCTCTAGCTCACTAGGCCATAAATGGATATCATTCATGATTATATAATTGTCGTTTGAAAGGTATTCACACACAACAAAAGATTAAATACGTAATTTTCTGTTAAATACTCAGAATTTATAACTCACTACTTACCTGTCAAGTCATCCTTTTGGGATAGGTTTCAAACCTTTTAACTTATAATAATGGCATTATTGGTCATAAAAACAATTAGTAGTTGTGACTTTTCTGTTGTTATCAATTTGTGACATGTAATAACATTTTTTTTTTGGGTGGTTTCAAAGAGACAAATTCTAATATTGCATAATTGTTGAGTATATCATTGTAATCACAATTCTCTTAATTAACCACCTTTTGTGTTCTGCCACTGTCCATGTGCATTGTGGCTCTATCTAGGAAATTTCCTCCAAATTGGAAATTAAAGCCATTCCCACCTTTGTGTTGATGAATGGAGGAGCTCCAGTGAACAAAACTGTGGGTGCAAATCCTGATGAGATAAGGAAAAGAATAGATTGTTTTATTCACCAGACACATTCCCCCAAGTCAAATGATGCATGAACATGTTGAACACAGTTTGTCAAAGCTGTAAAGAAGACCTATTATGTTTTTTTTTTTCTCTTAATAAAATATAAAAAAAAAGGATATTCCTTGTATGTCACAAACTCCAAGTGGTTAATCTTTTATTATTTGTAAATGTTTGGTGTGGATATGAAAGGGCAAGTTGATGTACTATGAAAGGGTGTTTTAGTGTATTCATTTTCTTTAGAGTGATATTTTAATTTTTTTTCTTTTAATTTACTTTTGTGGTCGTATAGTAGCAAAGCTTACCTGTGCAACTTATTACCAACTACCATGTCATATGTCATGTTTCAAACCAATTTCTTCAAATTCATGCACCTTACGAGGTTACGAGGAACATTTGAAAAACAATAATGGGTGCAAATAATTTCAATTTTAATTCTTGCGAGGGACGATTGACAAGGACAACTAGTTTCCAATTCTAATTAATTGCTCTGAGTTCAATTCTTGAAAATTTGAATTCAATTGAACGGAAAGAACTCATGTCATGATTCAATTGGTTGAATCCGTTAATTAAATTGATGGTTGCGTCATGATTAAACTCTGAATCATAGACATTTGTTCATGAATTTAGATTGTCTCTTGTTTTTTAAGTGATAGATTCAAGTATATCGTTATTTTGGTCCTGAATTTAGAAAGTGTTGTTATTTTAATGCTTAAGATTAAGAAAATGTTAAATAATTAACAATTATATGTTTAAAACTCAGAAAATTATGTGACGAAAGAGCTGACGTGAATATATATCTAGGGAGAAAAATGATTGTAAATAATTAAATTTAGAAACTCATTTGAAATTTTAAAGACTTATTTAATATATTTGTTTAATTTTAAGACTAACATCACTGTTAGTAGCAGATTTAGGATATTGAGTCAGTGTGGACACTAAATGTAGTGTGTTGAAATATATAAAATTAGGGTTACTTAAAATAGTTAAATTTAAGATATTTATTTTTAACGAATAAAAAATTAAGAAAGTGGGTTCAAATACATAAAATTAGGAGATAAAATATAAACTTCTTTTTTAAGATATTTATAAGTAATTTTTTGAATTGAGGTGAGTGATCACTGATCACTATGTAGGTTTGCTACTACTGACAATGCTCACTATTTTTAGAAATCAAAGTGAATATTTACTCAATAAAATATAGTAATGTTAGATAAAGATACATGAGAGAAAGAGGGAAAAAAATATTTCTTACAACTATCTAGGACTATTCGCACTTCAGTTAAGAATGGGTTGTAAATAAAAAAAAATGTAATGCAACTATAAAAAATCAACCACGATTCCATTTTATTTTAATTGGTTTCATTTTTAGTAGAGACAACAAGTATTATAGCTAGGTAAAAAAAAAAAACAATTTTACTTGATTCGAATAGAGTATTTATGAGCACCAAAACTTTTCATATGTAACACAACAATATATTCGTGGTTCAAAAAATTGAGATCATTATTTTAGTTGAGACAATCATATATATATATATATATATTATCTCTACTGCTATGCCGAGCTTGAGCTCGGCATAACAGCACAGGACGACCTCAGATATGCACTGGGAAGATCTCGGCCTATACGAGATCCGCTATCTAATCAGATCATAACTGATCTCAGGCTCAAGATCCAACAAAACCCTAATTCACACCAAGGTACGTGCGTTACTTATACGAGACTCATACTCCCACAAATACTAACTTTAGCATTAGAGTCTCTTTTGCAGGTACTACTCCCATCTTGGAACATCAAGCGTACCAGCGAAGGAGACTCACCGACCTTACCCAGCGGATCAACTCTACCTCAGATCCCCGGTAAGAACAATATATATATATATAAAATAAGAGATTTACTTATTTTAATAGTAAATTTTAACATATTTATTTTATTTAATAATTTATATTTTACTTTAAATTTTAATCATTAAATTAAAAATTTTTAATGTATAAATCAAGCTTACAAAATTTTAAAAAAATTAAAAATTATATAATAAGTCGTTATGTAAATAAATAAATAAAAAAACAAAATGGACTAAAGTAGTTGTCTAAGATTTGTTCAAGAACAAACAATGATTACATTAGAAGCATGACCAAGTCTTGAAGGATAAACAATCATTACATTAGAAGCGTCGCCAACCCTTGAAGGATACGCAATGCCAAGTAAGTAATCGTATTTAGTGTTATGTCCTCGTCTTCCATTTAGGCAATAATTTACATTCTCAATCAAGTTCACCTTTGATAATTTTTTTTACTTATTTATTATATAAGTCGATAATTTATCGTAAATAATAGCTTGTACTCAAATAAAAATATCATTTTTTTACTTAAATCAAGATTAAGTTATTTGAATAATGTCCAAATTGAATCTTAGACAGAAATAAATTTTGATTAAATTTTACTTATTTTTCAGTTGAATTAGATTAATTTATGGGAAAGTGTTACGACATTGAAACCAAAAAAATCGAATTAAGAATTTAAGAAGAATAATAACATGACTGTGTGCATTACCAGCTAATTTTCATTTTGAAAATAAAAAAGAACAAGAAGAGGTTTGAAATATCTCGGAATCTTTAGGCCCATAGAGAAGCCCAAGGCGAAGCCCAATCGGGGATCTGTTTTGTCGTAAAAGTTGAGGACGAAGAATTCCATCAGCACTTGGCAGTTGCCACCAATTTGTTTCCTCATCTGTCTCACACGCAGATTCCCCTTTTTCTCTTCCCAGAAAATATTAATAATAATAATAATAAATTAATAGCACTACCAAAATTATTAATATTAAACCTTTGGTTCTTTCTTCCTCTCCCAACTTCAAAACGTGCAAGCAATTGCAATTTGCAAACCCCACACAGTCACACACACACACACATAGTCCCTGTTTGTTTCCCAGGAAAATCCCGGTGCGGGAAAATCCTCAATTTTCCGGGAACCCAACCGCCATAATGGTTTCCCGGGAAAACACCAATTGGTTCTTCGATTACGCCTTGATTGACGATATTCCCGTTCCCGACGCCGCTTTCTCCGCCTTCACCTGGCCCCCCAACGCCTCCAATGTCGGGTACTCGCAGATCGCTTCGCCAATTGCCTTTTCCCTTTAAGATTCCCTTCGCAACCTCTCTGATTTCCCCACTTTTGGTTCATTAGGGTTTCCTCGTTGCTCTTTGATTTTAGGGTTTCGTGTCTTAGTTCGGAGGTTCCACGCGGTGGAGAGTTTTGTGTGAGTGGAAGGAATGTGATTTTCGTTTTTTTTTTTTGTTTTTTTGGGGATTGGTGTAGTCACGGGTGGTTGTAGTTTTTTTTTTTATTATTTTTTTTATATATATTATATTACGTGGCGGAATTTGGTCTGTTTAGGTCATAAATGTCTGGTCAGAATTAATTCAGATGGCGTTCATGCATGTGCGATTAATTTTTCTCTGTAGGACGTACAATGAGTGTAGATTTCACCATTTTAGTGTGTGTGCAGTTTGTGTTTTTATTGAGCCTTTCCATTTATGTAATTATGTTTTTGGCTTGCGAAATTGGGGGTCGTTTGTACTTTGTATACCTCGAGTTACACGGTTAAATTATTTTCTCGAGTCATAGGGTCATTTTATTTTTACATTGGAATCAAGCTAGGTGGATTAAATGAAGAATGATTCGGTTGGAAGTTGTAATGGTGAAGTGCTTGTTTAACTCGAGGGAAGATTCTTCTGTGCAGGGATGGCTTATAAATTTGTTAATGCTAGTATTATGTGGAAGTGAATGTAGGGGGTATTGAAAGTGCCGTTAAGTGTGAGAAATAAATGTAGCAGAGATGAGAATGATGAGTTGGATGTGAATGTTAGAACAGAAATATTTGAGAGAATGTTGGATTGAAGGTGTAGCACCTATTGAGGTGAAGAAGGCTAAACTTGCGTAAGGTAGTTTAGTTCAGTCGTTGGGATGGAGACAGATGACGTCTCCGGTGAGAGAAGTGGATAACTGTAGGAGGGTGTTTAAATTAAGAAAAATCTTCCCTTAGGGGTTTTACTGAAATTTGGCTACTGCTAGAGCCCTATATAGCCAACTCCACCTTGTGGGGGAAGTAAAGGCTTGGTTATTTTGTTCTAACTTCCAGCATGAGAATGTGAAATAATTATACCACGATCTTGCGTAGCGCATTTGTTTGTCAATTTTTTTCTGTGGGGAAAGGAGTGGACTTAGTCTGATAACTTAAGTGGCTAAACAGGTGTTTAGATACAAATTAAAGAAGGGTTTTTCCTTTCCAAAGCAAAACATATATTTGTGATTTGAGGCCCTGTACATTTTTGTTTGTGCAACATGGCTACTGACATTATTCATAACACCCATTATCTGTGATTTTGTCTACCTCCCCACCCCTGCCCCTATTAAAAAACAAATTTTTTTTGGCTTTTCTTTCTTACGATATTGTCTTCTCCTAGTGTTGAAATTGATGGCTCATTGGGGGATTCTGACGGTCTCAAAGAGTCCGGTTCAAAGAAGAGGTACACAATGTTCTGTTCCCTTTTCATTTTTTGAATAAAATAATTTTATGTTAATTAAAGGAAAAAAAATAAATCAACATATGTGGCAACTTGGCAATCTTATTCTGAACCTGCACTTGTGAAGTTCTTTATTCTATAAATATTTCCTAATTTCTGTTGTTTTGCTTGCATGCCTGCTTCTTGCTGTTTCAGTCTTCAGATGACTTACTGCTCTATTTTCTTTCCATTTTCTTGTACCATAATAAACCCATCATGATTCAAGACTGAAGTGAAATCTGAGGGCTGTGTTAATTATTTAAATAATTTTAATAATTTTGCTAATCACTAGCCACACATAATTTTGAATGAAAGCACAGGATGCCTAATAATGTAGTACAGTCAAAGCACGAGGCTAATTTGTGCAATTGATGTTGATCAAGAAATCAACATAACAAATTTTATTGCTGTATTCATTGTATATGTTATCTTATTCAAGTGTAAATTTTTTTTCTAAACTTTTATGCCAATTATATAAAATCACGTTTCCCCGTCTTATAGTATTGACTGCTTTTTTGTAAAAATAAGTCGACCCAATCCAGTTGTCTTATCCTAGAAGGAAGTTATCCTCATTCTTTTGTTCATTTCCTGTTACAGGGTTAGGTCTGAGTCATGTGCTGCTTCTAGCTCTAAGGCATGTCGTGAGAAGTTGCGAAGAGATAGGCTTAACGACAAGTACGCATTTTACTTCTTAATCCCAACTACCTCCGCTATTCCCCTTGTGAGTTTTTGTGAATGTTTAGCTGAGGCATGTACCTAATATGATGGACTTGCCTAGGTTTGTTGAATTGGGTGCCATTTTGGAGCCTGGAAGGCCTATCAAAACAGACAAGGCTGCTATCCTGATTGATGCTGTCCGAATGGTGACCCAGTTACGGGGTGAAGCCCAAAAGTTGAAAGACACTAATCAGGGTCTTCAAGAAAAGATTAAAGAGTTGAAGGTGAGGTTTCAATATATATTCATATTTGGATGACTTCCTGGGAATTCCATATTCTGGATCATTCTGGATCACTTGGGGGCCATTTGGTTTAAGAAAATGTTTTCTATTTTCACTTTTAATTACAAAAATCCCACCTTTTTGTTATGTTTTATGTTTTCAAATATTTGTATAGAAAACAATGAAAACAACTTATTTTGACTGTTTCACATACAGACTATTGAAAAGAAGAAATAAGCTGAAAACAAAGTGACATTTTTTAACAGTAAAAATAGAAAATGAAATAAAAAAACTTTTTTTTTTCAAACGAAACAGCCTCTGAAGATTGTTTTCTGCCTTCAAAAGTCCAACCTTTTCCTAATGATGCTGAAATTGGCAAATACCATCTGTATTAAAAATCAAATTCCTATCTTGCTGTGTAGGCTGAGAAAAATGAACTTAGAGATGAGAAACAGAGGCTCAAGGCAGAAAAAGAGAAGTTGGAGCAGCAACTGAAATCATTAAATGCCCAACCTAGTTTCATGCCTCCCCCTGCTGCAATCCCGGCCGCAGCATTTGCGGCACAAGGCCAAGCCCACGGCAACAAGCTGGTTCCTTTTATCAGTTATCCAGGAGTTGCAATGTGGCAATTTATGCCTCCTGCTGCAGTGGATACCTCACAGGATCACGTTCTCCGTCCACCAGTTGCCTAATCTGGCATTGTACAATTCTCTGGGCTTCAATTTTGGCCCAAGGTTGTATCCATTTTACCAACACCTTCCTGGCTTTGTTAGTTCTCTTCTAAGTATTCTAACTGGACCCAGTGGTAACTTCTCTGAATGTATTTGGCATATGATACTATTATGATTAATGCTGGCATTTGCATGTAAATGTTAATAAGATTGTCTGGCTGTCTTCACCTTTGTTTTAGTAGTTGCTACTGGGTTCTAAGATAATCCATTGTTAGGTTGACAGCAGCATTATTTCGGTTTAGGCTTTTACAATATAGGTAAGAGCGCATTCTTGCTAGTATATATGTTTTAACAAGCAATATTATAGAGCTATGGTGCTTTAGTTTTAAATTTGGTGCAGTCATGTTTCTTTTTGTACGGAAATAGATAAGTTCCGGTTATTGATATATACTGAGTGGCGTGGAAGTGTGTATATGGCGTCTTGGTGACATGTTTCTTAATCCTAAAATTTGGGCGGTGGCTGCCTGACAGGATCGAGATCTTAAAAGGAAAAACATAGAATCTCAATACTTAGTATGAGTTCCTTTAGTTGGACACATTCCTTCAATTGCCAAAATTGGCCCAGAATCTCAGGGTCTATTTTTTTTTTTTTTGGTATGCCCATTCTCTTTCCTTGAGTGAAAAAAAATAGAAAATAACACTAAATGTTTTTTTTTTCAACTTTCGGAATCATTTTATTTGAAAATATTTTTAAAAATAATTGGAAAATTGAAAAATAAAATAGTCATTTTCAGCTTTTTCAGTATAAATGGAAAGAGAATGAGAATGATTGAAAATGCAGTGGCAGAGAACGAATATTTAATCACAACTATTGCATTTTTGTTTTGAAACTCCACATAATTTTTAATCACTGGTTCAAAAGAATTTCAAATGGTCCTTTCGTGTCTCCTCAAAATCTTTTTTATTTCTTCACCTTGCATCTTAATCCACTAGCTTTCACGTTCGTTTTCCAAAAGAACTGCGTTTTCTTATATATATGCTCTACAAATACTCATACTTACAATACGGATTGAAGAAAAAAAGAATTTCAACAGCAGAGTTACAGAAAAATTAAAACAAAGGGTGCATCTTGCCAAGTAGCCACATCACTGTTGTCACTTCTTTGTATCGATGGATAGGTATATGCTTTGAAGAAGTCCTCTTATTTTCATCTTCCTCTATATGCAAATACCATTCTTTCCGCTCATCAAAAAGATCACATTTTCTCATGATCAAAGTTACAATTTTCTAATGTGACAGCTCTTTATGAAGTAATCAGAAAAATCAATGTACTTAGTCCACAATGGCCTTAGATGGGGAAAAGCTATATCTAGCCATGGCTTTGCCCTGCCATTGAAATGGATGACACCAGCACTCTTAGCTTCATCCAAACTTGTAGTTTCCTGATATCCCAATCCCAACATGTGCCAGAAAGGATCAATAGCATGGACATGACCATGGAATGCTATTAATCCAGGAGGTAATGTTCCTAGCTGCCACAAACTGAGGTCTGATTTTATATTCTGCATGAGGCGTAACATCAATAGTGTGTTATAATATTGTCTTTATCTGGTAAGAGAGAAATTATGAGATAGTATTGAACCAAATAATCTTCAATGAATCTCTACACGACATGTAATCAACAATTCTTAATTTTTTTCTCGTAAATTGAAACACTTAAATATATGTTATGTACAGATTGGTTGAGACTATAGATATTTGGTAGTCCTGAACTATCTAATAATTGCTCCCCACATGGAAACTCAAATTTTGGTTATGCACAAATCAATGTAATTTACTTTTACTTTTTTCTTTTTCTTTACAGAATTGTAGTAGGATGGAAATTGGAAACTACATGTACCTGCTCAACCCAGTAATGGTATGTAGAGCTTATATTGGTCTTCCTCCATGCATCAAGGTCGAAAATGTTCATACCATAAGCCCAAGCACATTCATTGGGATCAAAATTCTGGGATATTAAAGCGTGCGAGAAGTTCAAATAGCTTTTCAACCTCTTTGACATCACAAACTTATCATCACCAGTACATGTTTCCACTGCTCCATTGACTTTTCCATTCATGTCAATGTCCCACAGAGGTGTAAGATCACTTTGTACCACAATATCATCATCAAGAAACACCACCTTGCTAAGACTTGAGAACAACTGTCAATGAAAAATGTATTATGGCAGTAAGCATCACAGGAAAAAGGTTAATGAGTTATACAAAAGTAATTTTTCATTGATAAGACCATTCACTATTTCTTACCTCTGGAAGATGTATCCGAATGTGATTCATTACTGAATTATACTTGGGACTAAGTGCTTGCAGCTTTGCAGCGATTACCTTTGGGTTCTCAGTAGCATTTGCAACTATAGTTGATGAGCCCCCTCTAAACTGTGATCTCACATTTTGATCCTTTTCCATTGCTTCGAGCACAGGTACTTTTCCCTTTGTAAACCAATCAAAGTGGTGCAATGCCTTGACCTCAATTATGGCAGGTGTTAAAGGGTGCAAGGAAAACCAAGCCTGCATGGGATAGTAAGTCTTCCTATCCGTAATAATGTGCAGAACAACCTTCTGAGGCCGCAAACTGTTGCGAACGAGCGATTTTGCAACCACAGAGGCAGCAAGAACATTGTCTGAGGCAAGCACAAAGTGGAAGTAGTTGTTGTCAACAAGTGCAGGGACTAGTTCTGCAGATGGAAGTTGAAGGCGTGCAGCTGCATTGTTGGAGTGTTCACTGGCCAGCCTCAAGCCAAGGCAGTGAAGCTGTTTAGGTATGCTGCTTGATGCTACATGACGATATAAATATTCTTGGATTTTGGCTTCCCTTGTCCTTTGTTCCATAAAGGTTACCTAAAAATGTTATAATTTAAGTGGAGACTTGAACATGGAAAATTGAAGAAATTATTTGGTAGTTCAAGATAAGTGTCCATGGTCCTAACTGATCACTACATGACATGCATTTAAGTTTTTCAAGTTATGAAAATAATTAAGTACACTTTGATTAAATGTCATCTAAAGACTATTTTGTGATTATATGGTATTGGACCACCTAATAATGCCTCGAAAACTAGAGAAATTATTAGATAGTTAGGGTCACCAAGAGTTCATGGTCCCAACTAATCACTATGTGTACATGTCATGTAAAGACTAGTTAGAGATTATGGGGTGTAAGACCACCTAATAATTTATCGGAAAACTGTTACTTATGCTTTAGTTTGAAAGAGTGGGAAAATGGTTACCATTTCTCTTAGTTTGATTGCAAATGTCTTGGCATCATATCCACCTTCCCTCATTTGGATCATGAACTCTTCTAAAGTCTGAGGAATATCAGACCTTCCCTCTAATTCATCTTTGCCAAGGGGTTGATCTAATATTCCGTATATCACTTCTGGGACCTAGCAGAAACCAGGGTCATTTTCAGCCACCATTAGATAATTTTGGTCAATTAGTTACCATATGGATTCACATGCTGACAAATATAATTTGAAGAGTTAAGGAGATTACATTTGATTCAAGACTTCTCCCCAAAATCTTAGGCCTCAATTTTTTTCCCAGGCAACCTGCAAATATTAATTTTAGTAAATCAGGTCATATATATACATAAATAATCAAACTGAATTGAATTATAATATCTAGACGTAAAAGTGTCATGCACTTGTTTCAAATTCAAAAGTTTACAGAATGTATCATTACCTTAAATTTGTCGGTTTAGAATTTGATATTTGCAAATTGTGGAATTCATTCTTTGTTATTGTATTGGAAAAAATCTATATCAAGTGTACTTATAAATTTGTAACATTGCATCATACCTTATCTAATTTTAAAAGGAAAACACTAGTGCATGATATCAAATTTACCCAACAGTACATCGACGTGTTCTACCACACTACCGTACAAATTACATATTACAAATATTCCAGTTCCAACATATGAAACTCTAATCTTCATAGATATCTTTAATTATGTCTTAAGCTTCTCATAACTGAATACACACGAGTAGCCAAAGTTGAAAAATAATAGACAGCGTTAACGCTTCGTTTACATTGGTTTCATGATCCTTCAATTTATATAAGGGCCGTTAATCAATAATCTTCAAACTTTGAATTCAGTCAAATAACTATGCAAATAATGAAAAGTTTAAGGCATAGTAAAATAAATTTATGCTTTAATTTTGTTGCTAAGAAGTCTCACATCATTTACGAGTTAAGGATAAAAGTCATTTATAATCATTTCCTATTCATTAAGGTGAATAATTAATATCTCTGATACTGTGACTTTAACAATATTAGCAGACTCAAGGAACATACATATTGAAAATAAAAGCCTTATTCCCCCTGTGCTACATCTTTATGTCCTTCTGCTATGCATAAATATGTTTTGTTTTTTTTATGTTTGTGACTTTTGTGTGCATGTGTGTATGAAAGAAAGAGAGTGATAATTAATGTACCTATGGAAGAGCATTTGTTTTCTCCATCAATGTTATCCACTGCTGTCAAAACAAACACAAACCTAAGAAGGAATGTGAAGAACAACAGTGAATAAAATAGCATCCGATAAGAAAGCCTCCTCGATGCAACCTTCACTTTGATAAACTCCTTCAACCCTTTTCCCGGAAGCACAGTGACATGCCTTAAACTGGGTGATATCTGCAGCAACATTTTCTCCAAAACACACAAGGCAAGGCAAAGACAACACCAAAAAAGTAGAAACAGCAAGAAGCCTTATTCACCCTCCTCTTGAACATGTACTTTTATTTAGTTCTTTTCATTTGACATCTTCACCACATGATCAATGACAATGTAGAAAAACCTGCAAGAACCCACGTCAGGTTATTCTGTAAAAGGAAGGTTTTGATGGTGCTTAAGGTTGCTGTCTTCACCTAACCTTGCTTAGCATTTGGGACAGGCAGCATGTCAAAGGGGTGTTTGGAGGCTTTTAATATTGTTGTGAGAGGAGGGGGTTGTTAAGGAGAAAGAGACATGAGACTGAGAAGGAGTACCATGTTGTTTGATTCAAGTTTTGTTTATTGACTTCGTTTTGAAGGTGGCAAGTTAAGAAACAAAGGGTAGAAAGTTAAATGAGTAAACACTTTTTGATACCTGAATTTGGGAGATAATGTTATTCCTGAAACTAGAAAACTATCAAATAAGATTCTAAAATATTAAATAAATTTTTAAACTTAACTACTTATAGTGATTTTAATTTTTAAATATATATTAATATTATTATTTTAGTCACAAATTTTTATATTTTAAAATGATATGATTGTTAATTTGTACTTTCAAGAACTTATTTAATAATTTCTTAATTTCATTGACTAATATGACACAAAGTGAGAATTTACTCTAAATTGAATACAAGGTTTGGCGTATGCTTGGCTTTGCCTCCACATGAAGTTGTTGTTTAGTTTGGAGTTTGGAGAGTGTGACAACACAAGGGGACTTGTACATGGAAAATGACTGCATTTCTTTCTCTCTCTTTCAGGATGTGGCTGTTGGAGTAAAAGTTCAGAAAACATATATTAGTTCTATTTCTTGGAAGGAAACTGAATTTTTAAAGGGTGGCTGACCTTTATTGGTTCTGGAATATTTGATTTCTTGGTGAATCTAATAAATTTTTATTGGTAACCATGTTTAAAAGATGTGGCAGCCATTGAATTTTTTTTCCTTTTAATAGAAAAAATACTAATTAACAAGGGCTATACAAGAAAAAGTAAGTAATTTTTTTATATAAAATAAGTATATATATATTTTTTTTTATACTTTTTATGTTTGTCTAAATTATTTTTTTAGAAAAAAGAAATAGTTTTTTGTTTCTTTTAAGAGTAATTCCTATTTGTTTTTTAAAGAATTATTTTATAAATCACCTTTTAAGCACTTTGTACATATTTAATATACTTAAATTTTATAAATCTACTATTAATGTATTGCTAATTATTAAATGTGTTACCTTGATAATTATTGTATTGATTACTAATTATTAAATTTTAATAATTTTTTTTATAAATTATATTTACTACTAGTATTAACTCACTTAAAAATTTTATCAATTGTTTAATTGATTACTATTTATTGCTCAAAGCTGTATCAATTAAATACAATTTGCATCATAATTAATCATAAAGTAAATATTTTAAGAGAGAGAAAAAACATTAAAAGAATTTATATCAGTTTGATGAACTGTGATTTACCGTAGATGTTTTTTTTTTTTTTTTGTTTCTTTTGGATCATGAATATACTTCATCAGTATCACACAATGATTTAGAGTTATACAAGACTAATTTGCATGCTTCAACATGTCAAATATTATTTTAATTTGAAATTTTTTTTGTTTAGTATTTATTACTATTCCTATTTAAATATATATTAAGCTTTTTACTAATTTTTATATTTTACTTATTAATTTATTATTAATGACCTAATGTATTAATAACTATTAAACTTATTTCTAATTATTAATAAAGTTAGTAATTACTACTGGAATTAATAACAGAGATTATGATAATTACTAAATGATAGTGATAAATTAGTAAAACTATGATCAGAGTGTATGAGTTGTTGTAGATGACATTAGCATTGAATTATTTTATAATCAACTATGTATAATTTTTTTTAGTAATTTTTAAATTCTACATGTTAATTTATTGTGATTACTAAATTATTGCTAGATTATAATTGCTATTAATTATTACTGACTTGTAATAAATTTAATAATTACTAAAACTTTAATACTAATAAATTAGTAAAATTAACTATGATTCGTTTCAGTAATTTTTAAATTTTATCTATTAACTTTTATCAATTATTAATTTTATTATTAACTAGTATTTTAACCTGTATAATGAATAAGTTAAATATTTATTATATAATTAAAATTTATAATAAATTATATGTAAATAAATATTATGTTTGAATATATAAATCATATTTAAAATTTGTATAAATAGATATTTTTAAACCTATAAATTAAATTTTAAATTTTTGATAAATATTTTATATTGTAACATAATATTATTTTTATTTACTAATAATTATTTAAAAATATTTAAATTAAATTTATAAATAATTATGATAAATAATCTAAATTAGATAAGAAATTAAAAAATATGTTAAAACTCTTTCGTAGAATAAAAGTTCCTTAAAACGTTTTCATGTAAAATAGATGTTTGTGTTTAATATATAGGAATTGATTTATTACTAATTAGTTTTTTAACTTGTACAATGTATAGATTAAATATTTATTATGTGTAATTAAAAATTTTAATAAATTATATATAAATAAATATCATGTTTAAATATATGAATCATATTTAAAATTTGTAAAAATAGATATTTTTAAATGTATGAATTATATTTTAAATTTTTAATAAATAACTTATATTGTAACAACAATATTATTTTTAATTATTAATAATTTATTTTAAAATATTAAAATTTAATTCATAAATAATTATGATAAATAAAATCTAAATTACATAAAAAGTTCAAAAAATTCAATAAAATCTTTTCATTGAAGACAACCCTTTAAAAATACTCTCGTAGAATATAGATGTTCAGGTTTAATATATAGAAGTTAACTATTAATAATTATTATATTTTACTTATTTATTTGTTACTACTAATTATTAATAATTATTATATTTTACTTGTTGATTTGTCATAATTTAACAAATTTATCATTATTAAAATTTCTCCAGGTATTATTAAATTTAAAGATTATATTTAGTTATAATGTTAGATTGATCAATTGCATATTTTTTTAATAAAAAATGTAACTACTATAGTAAATAAAAAAAAAATCAACTATCACACCCATGAATGGGTAAATTACTAATAAGGAAAAAAAATAATGATATTTAGACACTTACAATTTATAAATACTGGCATTTTCTTATATATATATTTTTAGTTCTTTCTTTTTATCATATCATATCATTAATCGTGTTAATTATTTATCTTTTTTCTTTATATGCTCTCTAGTGTTTAGGCATTAAGGGTGTCCAAGAATATTTAAAAAATAAAAAAAATAAAAATCCTTATTGATGACAAACCTAACTATTAATAAAGGAAAGAAGAAGAAAAAAATCTAACAATAACTAAGGATGACATGACTATATACTAAAAGTGCATAAGTACTACGACAAAACGTATCATTAACGACTATTATTTAGTGACAATAAGATAATTGTCTGCATATTATTATTAACTAAAATTTTTAATGGCTAATAAAAATTAGCAAATAAAACATTATTTATAGTAATTTTTAAAAATTACTGTTAATATTAATTTTTATTTGAACTTTTTTTAAAAAAAAAATTCTCACACTCAATGCATAACACATTTTCCTTTTTTTTTTTTTGCCTCACTTCTCACCGTCTCGTCTCATCTCACTTTCACTCTCGCTTCTTAAGATGAAATTATCAATTACTTTGTGTGAAACTTTTTGTTTGAATAAGTGCCAAAATCACCAACGACTTATTGTGGTAATTTCATGCTTAGGAATTTGCATAAAAATGCACCAAGTTTATCGATCATCCTATAGACATAAAAGCACCTACTTGGTTTTAAAAAATAAAATAAAATTGATAGTTGTGACTACTAAACTGTCGAAAAACACTTTATTTTCCAACAAAAATAAAATGTGTGTAAAAAATAAAAATCCATCACAAAATCATACTTTTTGAAGAAAATTTATGTGCATGTTAGCATGTATGCTGCACATCTTTTCTTAGGATAAAAGAAGAGTTACAAAGTTTACCGAAAGAACAGAGGCTACATGATTAGAAGTGGGTTGGCAGTGAAAGCTTTGGGACTTTGGATTATTTGTTTAAGTTTTATATTAAAACTAATGATATAGTTTTAATGTTTTCATAATTTTTGTCGGAATGAATTGACATTATTATTCATCGACTTATTCAATACCCTTGGATTTTGACAAAAAATAAGTGGATTTATCAAGATTTTTGTACTTGTCTGAGGATATACTCGTAATCTTCTATGGGGAAGGGCCGAACGGGAGCTTCAGGTAGATATTTCGGAAGGGGGGAGGTACTTGCAAAAGGCACTCCGACGCTCAAGTTAGGATAAGCACGATTCTCTAGGATAATTAATGAACAGTGACGTACCTCGATATAAGTGACCTATTTATACTACTACTGATGGGCCTTGTCAGCAGTGGGCCTCTTCTAAAGCTTACCAAATTAGGTAATATGACGCTAATCGGCTAATTATGTCTTAATCATGCGCTTATCCTTGTTAACCATGATCAACATTATAATCCTTGCTTTGCCCTTCGGCACATCACCGAGCCGACAGGTTAAGACTTGGGGTGCTGAACATCTTCGACTGTTGGTCGGGCTGATAAGTATTTGCTCGGCTATTCTACTTGATCGGAATTTGGCTGAGCCGGTACGCGGTATATGGAGATACATCGTGGTTCCGTTCGTATCAGCCTTAAGCCGAGCTGATATTGCTGTCGAACTCCTCTTGGCTTTCGGCTGTAGGCCGAGCCGATGCTAGCGTCAAGGTTTTAGGTATGGTTCAGTTCGCGTGGGTGTCTGACGGAACGGCACATGTTGGTCCACGTGATCGATAGGGTCTTCCCGGTACACAAGCCCCCCAGCCTTTAGGAGTGGAACAACGCAAAGGGTAAATGTAGTATTTCGGTTGTTACCTATTTTGAGGGAAGGCCAAGGGTTACAACTGCTAACGGGAAACGAAGGGTTGTAACCGTTGGGCATTAATGACGCATGCGAGGAGTTATGACTGCTAATGGAAGGCGAAGGGTTGTAACCGTTGTCGGAATACCAAGGGTTATAGTCGTTGGGTATTAATGACGCATGCGAAGGGTTACGCATCGTGAACCGTTGGATCTAAGTGATCCAACGGTGTGTAGAGGGGTGTGACTCTTGATATACTTGCAAGGAATGCCTATAAATAGGCGTGTGGGGAGGGTCCCCAAAGATACGCGTTTATCACTTGCTCTGAGCTGAGATCAGCTGAGTTGCGGTGTTTGAATATTCTTCAACAAAGATTGGTCAAGTTCAACAATCAGGTACCTAATGGCAGATTTAAATGTTGTTCATATTGACTCCTCCGGGGACGCAGGTGATTCTAGGTTGAGAGCAACGCTGGACCGAGACGTCGCATCGGCTTCGGCTTCCAATGGGGAAGACCACGTAGAGTCCGTTTCCGGGTCCGAACGGTCACGGAGTGGGAGTGATTCTGCATCGGCGATAGCCTCTGATGATCATCCGAGCAGGGGTGGTGGATCGTCCAGGAATTTTTGCTCCCATATCGACCCCTGGGTACTCGTGGGTGCACGGGGAGGTTGGCAGCGTGTATTCCCGGTATACCGATAAGAAGTCTCTTATTCATTTCGTATCGGCCGTGAAATTCTTGACCTTTCCAGAGGAAGAGGAACCCTCTGCCATCTTTTTTCAGCCGTGCCGAGGCGATGGAGGGCCGAATCCGGATTTTGTGTACTTGAACCAAGGGTTGTGCAAGTACCAGTTCTTTTATGTATACGATTACATGTTTCGGGATTTGAAGATAACTTTCCCGTTTGATGATTATTTTATGGGTATACTGCGGCTTCTGAACGTGGCGCCGAGTCAACTTCATCCAAACACTTGGGCGGCGATGCAAGGGTTTAGACAATTGTGTTTGGCTCTCGGCCTCTAGCCCACTCCGCACCTATTCCTTCACTTCTATTCGTCTCGGCCGACGAAGAAGATTAAGTGGTTGTCACTGGTTCGGAATAGTGATTGCCTGTTACAGCCCTTCACCACTTCCTATAAGAATTTCAAAGTGGGATTTATGAAGGTGATGATTCGGCCGGAGATGGGAAATAAATACTTCTTCGATGCCGAAGGGAGATCACGATTTCCGTTGTACTGGACTCGGAAGCCGAGGAAGTACGACACGGTGTCCAAATCTCGAATGTCCCCGAAGGAGAGATCGAGTTTGAATTTTTTAGAGAAACTGCCCCGGCCTTTACCATGCCGTCCTCTGGTCCGATTGTTTGAATCGATCGACGTAGTCGAAGAACTGATTGGTATAGTACATTTCTTACTTGTTTAAATTCTTGTATTATTATTGATTTTGACTAATGATGTGCAGGTATCATGGCGGATCATGGAGAGGACGATCTAGACATCCGCACATTGATCCGGAACCAAGTGGCGGCGACCACTGGGAATAAGACCCTGACCGGCGTGCGTAGGAATCAACCAACTGCCCAAGGTGGTGGGGCGGGACCAACGGTCAAACCGAGGAAGCCCACTCGGCCCCAGCCTGAAAAAAGAAGGCCTGATCCAGGGGCCGAGGAAGAGAGCTGTCGGGCTAAGCAGCGCTGCGTGGCTGGTCCAACTGTTCCAGAAGGCTTGGCCGGACCAAGTTTTTTGGCTGGCAATGTTAACGCTCAGGATTTTTTGAGCCAAGACTTGACCTCCGAATCGGGTCAAGGGGTGCTGAGCCGCATGACCTCGGCTCAGAAGTGGAGCTTCTTCTGTGAGTTCCAAGTGCGTGCTGTGACCTTGGCTCAAAGCATCATGATGGAGCCGAACGGCGAGGTCGATGGACTGCGTCAGCAACTTGCTGAGCAGGAGAAGTCTCTCTAAGAGACGCTGGCGGCACTTACTGACGCCCAAATGGTCAACAGCAAATATCAGGCTGAGTTGGATCGCCGGGGGTGAATTGCTGACGACCTAGCTTTGAAGGTTCAGCGTCTTGAGCTTGCCTTGAAGAGCGAGACAGAGAAGGTTGCAGCTCTGGGTAAGGAGTTGGATGCTGAGAAGGTTGCTTTCGGGGCTTATAAGGAGAAAGCGCGCAACAAGGTCCTCACTCAGCATCAGGCTGGCTTTGCTCAGGCAGCTCGGCAAGCATGCTTCTTCGGTGACTTCCCCCTTGAATTTCACCTTGATATGACAAAGGACTTCTTCCAGGAGAAGTTGGTGGACCTGACCTCCATCCCTCCGAATCAACAAGCCAACGAGGAAGCCCTGGCACGTCCAGCTGGGCCGAATGAGGGGGAGACAACATACGAGGAGGTTGCGCCTGAAGATGGTCCGGTTCAGGGGGAACCGGAGGTAGGGTCTTAAGCTTTTTGTTGTTCTTTGTATGGATGGGCCGATAACGCCCTTTTTGAATGTACTCTTCTAGGCCGATAGTGCCTTGCTAAATGAAGTTAGACTTTCGTTGTTGTTACATATTAGTATAAAATTTACTTTTTTCGTGATGAAAACTCGTAAGAATTGATGGAAGCCACATCCTTGGCCGAGAGACATCTCGGGAGGGAAGACTTGTAAAATAATTAAAGCCACGTCCTTTGCCGAGAGACATCTCGGGAGGGAAGACTTGTAAAATAATTAAAGCCACGTCCTTGGCCGAGAGACATCTCGGGAGGGAAGACTTGTAAAATAATTAAAGCCACATCCTTGACCGAGAGACATCTCGGGAGCGAAGACTTGTAAAATGACGTAAGTCGCATCCTTGGCCGAGAGAGATCTCGGGAGGGAAGACTTGTAAAATAATTAAAGCCACGTCCTTGGCCGAGAGACATCTCGGGAGGGAAGACTTGTAAAATGATTAAAGCCACATCCTTGGCCGAGAGACATCTCGGGAGGGAAGACTTATAATTTGAAAAAATCGCAAAAATGTAAAACAAGTCATATATAGTTGAACTGTCTTGTTATTGATCGAGTGGATGCCTCGTTAAAAATCTTGCCGGCCAAAACCTATTTTCACAATTTTTTAAGAGGAAAAAAGACCGGTTCAAGGAAAAGAGTGCATCATTATACATATAGTTGAAATGTAAATACATAAGCTTGGTTCAACTGTAGTACGTCTTCAGGTGGGTGGAGTTCCAAGTTCTCGGAATGATCTTGCCCGATAGTTCTTCTAATTTGTAAGCTCCATTGTGGAGAGCATGTCGTATCCGGAACGGGCCGTCGCAGTTGGCCGCAAGCTTTCCTTCGGAAGAGTTGCGCCTTGCCGACCCGGTTGCTCTCCATATGAGATCGCTTTCATGAAATGCCCTCGGCTTTAGGTTGGAATTAAAGCGTCGGGTCATGCGTTGTTTGCATGCTTCGGCCACTACCTGCGTCTTCTCTCGCACCTCATCGAGAACATCGAGTTCAGCCCGGAGTGAAATATCGTTAGACTCCTCATGGAAATGTTGTCGCCTGAAGGATGGTTCCCCCACTTCAACCGGGATCATCGCGTCCGCACCGTATGTTAGGCAAAAAGGCGTCTCCTTGGTAGTTGATTGTGGTGTGCATCGATATGCCCAAAGGACTTCCGGTAGCTCTTCGGCTCATGCTCCTTTGGCCGAGCCGAGTCTCTTCTTGAGCTTAATGAGTATAACCTTATTGGCTGCTTTGGCCTGCCCGTTTGACTGAGGGTGCTCGACTGATGTGAACCGATGCCGAATGCTGAGGTTTTCGAGGAAAATGTTGAATTTCTTGTCGGTGAATTGAAGGCCATTGTCCGAAACAATGGCGTACGGGATGCCGAAGTGGGTAACCAGACTTTTCCAAACAAACTTATGTACGTTGGCAGCGGAGATGCAGGCGAGCGATTCGGCTTCTATCCATTTTTTAAAGTAATCCACCGCAACGAGAAGGAATTTAACTTGCCCCTTTGCTACAGGGAACGGTCCGAGCACGTCTATACCCCATAAAGAAAACGGCCATGGGGAGCTGATACTGTGCAACTCTGCAGCCGAAGCGTGGATGAGGTTTCCATGCTTTTGACATTGCACACACTTTTTAACGAACTCGGCGCAATCTCCTTTCAGAGTTGGCCAATAGTAACCGACACGCAAGACTTTGGCTGCCAGAGTTCGTCCCCCTGAGTGGGAGCTGCAGATACCTTCGTGTATTTCCCTTATTACGTAGTCAGCTTGGTGATTGTCGATACATTTGAGCAGCGGGGTGGAGAATCCCCGCCTGTAGAGCTCATCGGCCACCATGGAGTACCGAGCCGCTTGTGTTCGTAACTTCTTTGCTTCCATCGGGTCGGTTGGCAACTCCCCTCGGACAATAAAGCTCCGGATGGCTGTCATCCAGGTCAGCGCCTCAGTACCGGTTGCCATACACTCAACCGTCACACTTGGGGAAGGAATCTCAAGGTGAATGGTTGTACGCAAATGTCTTGGCTTTCGGCTGCTGGCGAGCCGAGCTAGCTGATCGGCTCGTTCATTGTTGCTACACAAGACGTGTCGTATCTGTACCTCGGTGAAATCGCTCTTGAGCTTTTGGAAGAGGTGATAGTATTGCAACAAATTGGAGTCTTTAACCTGAAAGTTATCATTGACCTGTTCGGCCACGATTTTAGAGTCGGTCCAGCATGTGATTTTCTTGACGCCCATCTCGGTTGCTAATCTCATTCCGGCTATCAAGGCTTCGTACTCTGCCTGATTGTTGGATGCACGGAAGCCAAACCGAAGGGATTGCTCGACTGTGATCCTTGAGGGGCTAGTAAGGATTACTCCGGCGCTGCTACCTTGGGCATTAGAGGATCCATCAACATGCATGGTCCACGGCTCGTCTTCAAAACATCCCGAAGAAGTGAGCTCGTTGACGAAATCAGCCAAATGTTGCGACTTGATCGGGCCTCTCGGCTCGAAAGATATGTCAAATTCTGAGAGCTCGACCGACCATGCCATCATCCGACCGACGATCTCTGGTTTCCGGAGGACCTTTGCAACCGGGCAGTCGGTTCGGACAATTATCTTGTGGCTTTGGAAGTACTGTCTTAACCATTGGGCGGCATAGATGAGCCCTAAGGCCACCTTTTCCAACAGCTGGTAACGTCGTTCGGCATCTTGCAGCGTCAGGCTGATAAAATACATAGGTTGCTGATGACCTTGGTTTTCTTCTACCAGGACGACACTCACAGAATAGCTTGAAACAGCCAGGTAAACAACCACATCGAGGTCACCGATCGGTTTGGAGAGTACAGGAGGCGCGCTAAGGTGTTTCTTGAATTGTTAGAACGATTCTTCACATTCTCGGGTCCAGCTGAATCGCTCTGTTTTCTTTAGCAAGAGTAGAATACTTCGGCCAAACGAGGGAGGAACCGGGAGAGCGAGGTGAGCCGGCCTGCTAACTTTTGGATTTCCTTCAGAGTACCCGGGATTTTCATATCCAAAATGGCTTGGCATTTGTCGGGGTTCGCTTCAATGCCTCGGTTGGAGAACATGAACCCCAAAAATTTTCCACCTGAGACCCCGAACACGCATTTTTCGGGATTAAGTCTCATCTGATGTTGCCGAAGCGCTTGGAAGACGTCGGCCAGATCACGCACATGCATGGAGATGTCGCTTGATTTTACGACCATGTCGTCAACATACACTTCCATACTTCGATCAATCTGGTCATGAAAAATTTTATTCATCAAACGCTGATACGTGGCTCCAGCATTTTTCAACCTGAACGGCATGACCCGATAGCAGTAGTTGGCCGTTTCAGTAATGAATGCCATCTTTTCTTCATCTTGGGGGTGCATACGGATCTGGTTGTACCCCGAGTATGCATCCAGGAAAGACAAGAATTTGTGACCAGATGCTCCATCAACGAGTTGGTCAATATTCGACAATGGGTAGGCGTCTTTCGGGCAGGCTTTGTTCAAGTTTGTGTAATCGGTACACATACGCCACTTTCCACTCGGCTTCCGGACCATGACAACGTTGGCCAGCCATGTCGTATAGTGTACTTCTCGGATGAACCGAGCATCTAGCAGTTTGGATACTTCAACTTCAATCGCTACTTTCCTCTCTTCCCCGGCCTTTCGACGCCGTTGGTCAATCGGCTTTGCCTCTTTACTGATTGAGAGCTTGTGGCAAAGGAAATCCGGGTCAATGCCAGGCATGTCGGAGGGATGCCATGCAAACAAGTCTCTGTTGTCAAGAACTACTTGTGCGATAGCACTCTTTTCTTGTTCAGAGAGGATGGTCCCTAGGTAAGTAAGCTGGGAGTCCGAGGCTCCAACTTGAATCGATTGCTTGTCTTCAATAGGTTTTACCCTCTCTTCCTGATCGATCCGGAGGTCGAGGTCCATGGTCGATTGCTGTGACACCGAGTGAACGCCTCTCGGCCCCTTAGGCGCTTCGTCATTCACTTTTGGTAATCGCAAGTTGGCAAAGTAGCATTCTCGCACAGTCTTCTGATCGGCATGGACCGTGATGACTCGTCCTGAATCGGCCGGGAATTTCATGGCTAAATGAGGGGTGGACACAACCGCCCCGAGCCGATTCAGGGATGGTCGGCCGAGCAGAATATTATAAGATGTGTTGGCGTGAACTACCACATATTTAACCGAAATGTCACGATATTCGGCTCCTTCAAACCCAAACCGGGTTGACAGCTTGATATACCCTTTTGTCTTGACTTGTTCGCCTGAGAACCCAACCAGAGGTTCATCATAAGGAACTAGCTCGGATTCCGGAATACCCAGCTGCTTGAACGTATTCCAATACAAGATGTCAGCCGAACTTCCCTGATCAACCAACGTCTTACCCACAATACAGTTGTGAATTTCAACACTGATTACCATCGGATCATCTTGGTCCGGGTCGATGCCTTTGAAGTCGGCCTCGGTGAAAGTGATGGTGGGAAGGCGGCGACGAACTGTTTCCACTGTGTGTACGTGCCGAACGGCTCGCAGGTGTCTCCGTTGGGCCGATGAGGATGAGCCCTCGCCAGCGAATCCACCGGCTATGGTGTTGATGACTCGCCGAGGTTGTGCCGAAGGCTCTTCCTCTCTCCTATCTCTTGACCGACTACGTTCCCTGTATGAGTGTGTTCCGGCTCTCCTCTGCTCGGGCTGATCATGCCGCCGAGACCGGTCGGTGTGTTGAGATGAGGTCGAACGGTCTATGAAGCCTTGCAGTTGTCCCTGCTTGATTAAGTCTTCAATTTTGTCTTTCAAAGCCGCGCATTCCTCTATTGAATGCCCCCTATTACGATGGTACCTGCAAGACTTTGTTGTATCGGCCCTGGGAGGGGTCAAAGCTCGTTTTGGGACTGCTAGCACCTCTGAGGCAAGTGCTTGCTCTAAGACGACCGATCTTCTTGTATTGAGTGGGGTATACTGTGAGTACCTCGGCCTGCGAGGAGGCTTCTCACGAGGAATCAGCTCTTTCGGACGACTCCGAAAATTAGTCTCGGTCGGCTTGTCAGGTTTTGTCGCCACCTCCGCTCGGGCTTGGTTTCGGAACTCAGCCAATTCTTCCATCTGCATGTATTTGTCGGCTCGTCGACGCAAGTCATCCATGTCAGTAGGGGGTTTCTTACAAATGTTGTTGGCGAAAGGCCCCGGTTTCAAGGCGGTGGTAAGGTGGTGCAGGGCTACAGCAGGGTTCGGGTCTCGGATTTCAAGCGCCGCTTTGTTGAATTGGCTCATGAACGTCCGAAGGGATTCCTTTTTCTCCTGACGGATACTAACTAGTGCCAAAGAGGTCAACTGGTGGGGTCGGCTTGTAGCGAATTGAATGGTGAACTGGGAAGCTAACGTGTTGAACGAGTCCACCGAGTTGGCAGGAAGCCGAGTAAACCAACTCAGTGCTCTCCCTTTTAATGATGTTGGGAAGATTCGGCACAAGGCGGCGTCATCAGTAGTGCTCAGAGTAACTTGAGTTAAGAACACATCCACGTGCTCATCTGGGTCGGTGGTACCATCATACTTGTCGAGGGACAAGGACTTCCAATGGTCAAGAAGTGCAGATTGCATGATGTTTGGGGTAAAGGGGTGTCGGTGTGCTCCGGCCGACACCGGTTGTATCGGCCGGCTGACCGAAGCATGGACGGCTAGGGCAGCAACAGAAGTATGAGGGATAGAGGTGTGATGGTCGTGCGAGTGGAACGACCCCTGAGTGTGGGTTGTCTCAGAGGGTTTCCATGTGGGATCCCGGTACTGGTTTTTGAGGGTGGCATTCTCTTCTCGCAATGCAGCCATCTCGGCAGCATCTCTTTCTCGCTGATGTTTCATGGCGGCCATTTCTTCCTTCATTTGACGTACCATATCGGTCAAGTTTGTCTCCTCTACTGTCTCGGCATTGTCCACCCCGGACCGGTGCTCATCTTCAGACTGGTGGTCTTCAACGTTAGCTCTTCTTGTCTTTGCCATAACGATTCTTCAAAAGTCTCTTCACAACTATCGATTCGGCCCCACGGTGGGCGCCAAAATGTACTTGTCTGAGAATACACTCGTAATCTTCTGTGGGGCAGGGCCGAACGGGAGCTTCAGGTAGATACTTCGGAAGGGGGGAGGTACCTGCAAAAGGCACTCCGACGCTCAAGTTAGGATAAGCACGATTCTCTAGGATAATTAATGAACAGTGACGTACCTCGATATAAGTGACCTATTTATACTACTACTGATGGGCCTTGTCAGCAGTGGGCCTCTTCTAAAGCTTACCAAATTAGGTAATATGACGTTAATCGACTAATTATGTCGTAATCATGCGCTTATCCTTGTTAACCATGATCAACATTATAATCCTTGCTTTGCCCTTCGACACATCATCGAGCCGACAGGTTAAGATTTGGGGTGCTGAACGTCTTCGGTTGTTGGCCGGGCCGATAAGTATTTGCTCGGCTATTCTACTTGATCGGCATTTGGCTGAGCCGATACGTGGTATATGGAGATACATCGTGGTTCCGTTCGTATCGGCCTTAAGCCGAGCCGATATTGTTGTCGAACTCCTCTTGGCTTTCGGTTGTAGGCCGAGCCGATGCTAACGTCAAGGTTTTAGGTATGGTTCAGTTCGCGTGGGTGTCTGACGGAACGGCATGTGTTGGTCCATGTGACCGATAGGGTCTTCCCGGTACAATTTTGAATGCAGCATCATCCATGAAATTTAATAAAAATTAATTTAGACATTAAATATTTAAATAAGATCTCCTTTATAATAAAATTGTCTCTAAAAAAACTTATATAGCCATTATTATATCAACCCTAATTTATATAATTACAATTTTCTCTCTTTCTAAATTAACAACCTTATTTAGTGGAAATCTTTCTTAAATAATTATCGATCATGAGTTATTATTTTTAGCAATGGTGCTACAAATTTTATAGAGGATGGAAAAGATCCAATAAACACATGTTTAATGAAATCTCTTTACCTATATCTATACTACGTGGAATCAACTAATGAACAAAAAAACTATTGAAAAAACTAATGTTGAACAAAATTGAAAAATGATTGACGTGTCACTTGTACACGAACACATTTTCATGGTAGATAGACAGAAAAAGACAATCCAAGGTAAGTATCCATCCTATTTAGACATCACACCTTAAGAAGTGAAAAATGGAACCACCATTAATGTTGTGTTGCTTTAAAAGCCCAAGGAGAGAAAACTCTCATGATAACTTGCTGTACCCAATTTAGTAAGAAACTGTTTTGAGATATGGTGAAATATATGCTAAAGAAATGTTTTTCACGAAAAAAACTAGAAAAAAATTGTACTGAAAACTTTTATATAAGAACAAAATTAGTCATGTTAGCTAGGAATCGAATCTTGTTTGATTTTGGGCATATCTATTATGTAATATCTCATTGTATTCAGAATTCTATTATTTTAATGAAAAGTATTTGATTTTGTGATTGTAAAAAAAAAAACTAATATAAATAAGTGGTAACAAATTTATAAATTAAATTGAATAATTATTTTTTATTTTATAAATTTATAATTTATATTAAAAAAAATCACGTGACAAGAAAGACGCAAGTTTATAAATTTAAATTGAATAATTATTTTTTTTAATAAATTTTTAATTTATAAAAAAGTATTGTGTAATAAGGATGACACAGTGGTTGATCTTTCCGAAGTGGGAATTAATTAC